TAATATTTAATTTGGTACATCAGTGCAACGTACATAAAACCTTACTCGAAATGACGCGTAAAGTAATAAATTATTCAATGTTAAATTATTTAGAATTATCAGCTTCAATAATGGCCTATAGTTTGTCATCAAATTAAAACAATAAAAATAGCTAAAATTATAATTCACAAAGATAACAAAATATCACAATCATTGATTGTGACTTATTCATATACGTAGATAACCATTTTGTAATAAGTGTACTAGAATTTATAATCTCCGAAAGATTTATTTTTAATAATTATAAATATTCTTTTGTTTACGAGTCAATGTGGAAAAATTCGTAGACAATGTGCAAAGAAAACATACTCTATAATATTATTTGTTCATGTATTTTTGTGGTATACATCTGTGACCAAATATTCGGGTATCTTTCAAAATACATACTCAATTTGTGGCCTATATCTAGATAATAAAATGTAAACAAATATTATATACAAAGCAGATAAATAAAATTACCGACAAATATTTAATTTAATTTAATTTACCGAATTAATTACCTCCGATTATTTAATTTTTATTTTGATTAATATACGTATATTATATTGGTTTTTTACTATAGTATATGAGAATTTAAGTTGCTAATAAATTAATTATGATATCAACACATATACTCGTAAATTTGTGGTAAATTCTAAATCATGAATCTTAATGATAATATAATATAAAATAAAATTCAAAAGAGATTACTTAAATAATAGATTCACCTAAATAAAAATATATACTCGATCAAAAGATATAATGCATTATAAATAAAACTAAATGTTAAATGTGCTGGTTAATTCAATTATAAGTTATTTATATACCAATAATTATTAAATTTATAGATTAATACAACATATCTTTAAATTTTTATCTTATCGTGTGTATAACTAAATTAACCCAATAGAAACAATTTATGGAAGAATTTTTTTTAAAACTAACAAATAGTTTAACCATCTTATGATATTTAAGTAAAATTTTTATAAAATTATTATTGTAAATAATTAGGTTATTAATATTTTGTTAATTATGCTACTCGTAGTATCAACTATCAGCTATATTGTTATTTTTTTTTTTTAAGATTTTTTATTAATGCTCTACATATTGATGTTTTTGTTATTTTAGTTAATCTAAATTATATTTGATCTTTCGAAAACTAAATAATAGAGATAAATTTCCATAACTTTATAACAATTAATTAGTGTTTGTTCATTTTCTCCACTTAAATCCCTCTTATGAAGATAGTTAGACAGGTACTAAGGAGGATATACATAGATCTTATTATTTAATAAATGAGAGGAATCATATTTTTACGTACATTTATATAACTTTCGATATTTTAATTTGTCCATGTTCGCTGTTTTACAATTAAAAATATGCTATTTCACTATCATATTAAGTTATTTCGGATTATACTTCTATTGTGAACCGGAAGCCTGATAATTGAAAACCAAGTAAAAACGTATTTGGAAAATCGAGTCAAATAACCATATAAAGATAATTTAAAATTAAAACTATTTGCTTGTAGTTAAATTAACATGAAAATTAAATAGAAAACCTTTTTTACAGAAGTATAAAAATAGATATATCATTTTATATTGAATTCCATTAAAAATATATTTAAAGAATGTTGCAAATAATTGTAACTTAATAATAATATTTTCTAAAGATATTTAAAATATTTCAAGTTATTTTAAGAGCTAGAAAAAAGATAACTCATACATTGCAATTAACTTACGTTGTCTGAATTAAACCGACTCTTAAGCAAAACCAGCTTAAATTTTACAATAATCTTACTTATTTAATTAAAATAAAAAGAGATAGTCAGTACGTTATATATATATATAATATATAACAGAGAATCTTTTGACTATAGGATCGCGTATAATGTTTACAACCAATAAAAGTAAGCAATATTTCCGAAAATTCCTATTAAAACAATTATATTTGTCCTAACGAAAATATGTATGTACTGCACGAGAAGAATAATGTTTGGAAATTAATATAAAAATATCTATATTTAATGTTGTCAGTATAATTTTGTAAAATAGTAAAATTATAAATAATAATAATTATAAATAATAAATAAGTTGTTGCATATTATGCAAATTAATACATTAATTAAATTAAAATATTAGTTTACTAGCATATTTAATTTATTTTCCTTTACACAAAAGAAAAAAATATATGCATCATTAGGAAAACTAAATTTGCTTAGAATGTTTAAGCTGTATTGTATATTTAATAAATATTTGTTTCAAAAATTAATAGTACAATATATATATATATATTACTTACTACTAATTAGTTATATTATTATATAGTGAACATTTTATTTAAAAAATAGGTAAATATCTAAAAAATATATACATTTTAAAATAAAGATTACACAATTATCTTATAATCTATCAAGTGTTATTTTTTTATACATGAATAAATTAAAATTAAAATTTGACTAGCATAAATTTTATAATATTTTAAGTTTTAAATATTTAAGTATATTATGAATTATAATAATTGTGAAATACTGGATATTATATTAAATCATTGCTACTGTATATTGTATATATTATAACACATTGGGTAGTTTGTGATTATCGTTTATTATAATAACGTTAGTATTGTACGTTAAATACAATAAAATATAAAATAAATAAATAGTTTAATATAATTTCTGGTTTATTGGTTTTATTCATAAAAGAACCGCAAGTTATAGTAAATAACATTAGAAAGATAATTAATTCAATTAATAATAAACATAGGCCACATATAATGTTAATGGTGTTTTTTTACTGGGACACGAAACTATTACTAAAAATAATAAAAAATATATTTTTAATAGAATAATATTGTTGAATTTAATTGATTTTAAAAATAATGATTCAAGATATATAATAAAAATTTATTTTTGTAGTAAACATTTTGTAAATTAAATTACATTTTAGAATGACTAAAATAAATATTAAGTTATTAAAATAATTAAAAATTTAGAAAAACATATTTTATTAAACCAACTTTATGAAGTATAGAATTTGAGAAAAAATAGAAATGTACATTTAAATCAGTGATCTACTCATGAAAGATAAACAAGAAATTAGAGAGTAATAATTATAATTTTATTTTATTTAATAGTATTTTCTTTTTTAAATTAGGGCTTCAGAAATATGTGAATTTTTAATCTAATACATCAGGGCATTAAAAAAAAAAAAACTTATATAATATTATGCTGTAATTCTAAAGAATGATCAAAAGTTAAATACAGACTATTTTTAAACAGATCATTTTTCTAATTTTTACTATTTTATTTATAAATAATCGTAAAAGTTTTTAAGAATGTAAGCACTCATAATTATAAAATTTCACATTTCTTCAACATTTTTGTTTTAATGATTTAACAATTTTACTACGTTAAATATAGAGTTATACAAATGCAGGTAATTTGTATTTTAGTTTAATGCAACGCAAGCCGTTTTTTTTCTATTTACTAAGAATTTTAAATTTAATTTATTTTAAATTATGCTACTTGACGAATATTAAAACATTTTAACCACAATAAAATTATATTATTATTTTTTTTTTGTCTTTAAAATAGATTATAAATTTAAATATTTATTTATTATTTTTTAATTTTTAATTTTAGTTAATCATTTTATAATTCTGTCTTCAGTTGACAAGGCTTTAATAACATAAACATGTTGATCTTGATTTATCATTATTAATACATTTTAGGTCTCAGAGTGTAAAATTTGTAACGAGCTGTCTTTTTGATGTTGTACAATTTATGTAATTGTTAAATATTATATTTCTATTTTAACATAAAATAATTATATTCAATAAAATTGAATAATTAAACCATTAATTATTGATCAATCATATTATAAATTAATCGTGATTTTTGTAAGACCCTAATGAAAATATTATTATGTTGATATGTTTTAAATATTTATGATAGATACATAGATTACCATTATTTTCTTAAAGAACGAAAAAATAAAAATTATATTCTACGATACATTAAAACTTTTATAAATAATAATGTAATCTAAGTTTTTTTTAAATATAAATGACTCTCAAAAAATAAATAAGATTATTAAAAAATTAATTTTATATAGTTAAAATTAAGATAAATTACTGAGAATGAAATGAAACAAATATTTATAGAAAATATATAACAGGATAACTAAACATACATAGTTTTATCTAGAGTCTAATTTAGTGGTTAGTATATTTTTAAAATTAAATTATTTTCTCAAACAGTATTAAATATACTCGTATAATAATAATAATCAGTATTTTAAGTGTAATATTAAAATAAACTATAGGATGACAAAATAAATTATTAGAATTTTCAGTTTATTTAAAATGTTTTGATGTGTTAAAATGTGTATTCAAAATATTTATAATCATTTTATAAAACTAAAAAAATAATGTGAAAAACCAAACTTGAGACAATATAATTTATCTGTTACATGGTTGTGCAAGGATCATTGAGATTAACAGACATGCACAAATTTGAATTAATAGTTTTTAGTCCCTTAGGTTATATTATGAGACTTAGACAAAAATAACGTTTTATTTTAGTTTTGTTTCATCTTTATAATAATATCAAAAACACTAATTTTTGAATATTAAATTAATAAAATTATTTTAATAATTAATCAAATTGAATTATTTTGTTTTGGTTATAACAACTTTATTCGCACTTAAAATATAATAGTACATTAGAAAAATATATAAATATAATGCTATAAAGAAATGTAATGCATATTATTGTTTTTAGCTAATACATTTATTCGTATAGGAAATATTTTGTGTATACATATTTATAATATTGTGTGTATTATACTTAATACTATATAAACATATTGGTAATTTAAAAATAATTTTATATGTATTATAATGTATAGTTTATGTTCTGGTTATAAAATATATATTGCTATTAAATTCACAATAAATGATTCAAATTATTTATGTTACAGGTATATTTTGAAGAAAGAAATTGCATATTATTAAAACGATTTTGGAGATGATGAATCTGAAATTTAAAAACACATTGCGTGACAGAAAAACTTCGGCATGGAAACTGATAAGAAAATCCGTCGTAATATTACCGTGGCCATAAGATTTGAGTATAGGTACGTTATAAGATTGATTCGAAAAATAATTATCATATATTTGTAATTTATGATCTTACTTTTTACGGGTTAAAGAATCAATTAAATAACAAGTAAATTATCTTAATAGTGATGCGTTTTCTTATAGGACAGTCATGAACTAGTATAGAAAAATTGTTATTACACACGGTGATAGGTTTTGGTTTTAAATTTAAAAAATCTATCAAATAATGCTAAAAATAAATCTTAAAATTATTGAAAAATGAAGTTATTTATTAATCATGGCTATAAATATAATTATACAGGTATATTATAGAAAAAAAAAAACGATTAAAACAATATCTAATGTTTGTTGATATATTAAAGTGATTTATATAATTATTTTAGCTATAAACAAATCCCAGAGACCAAATTAATAATATTTAGAACAAAATAGTTCTAAAAATGTACTGCAATAACGTTATTTGTAATTTTACCATCAGAATCTACGAGTATAAATTATAAATAGAGCTTGGAAGTTGTAGAAGCTAAAAAAGGCGAAATATGCACGAAAAAATTGCAAAATATGCATTAAAAATGTTAAATATGCAAAAGAATTATTTTGAATTCCAAAAAAAAAATAAATACATCAGTTGTTGTTCATAAATTAATAAAACAATAATATACATAAAAACTGTTTATAACTGAAAAAAATTTATAACTGGTTGGCATTTTGACATCTTATTGAGCTAAAAATATAACTAAAAATATTTTTTCAGTATTTTTAAAATTATGAAAAAATACCCTTTTTTTAATACCTGTTAAGTCAATGCATTGAACTACTAATGGTTAGGTTAAGGTTCGCTGTTATTAATTTAATTTTTGACTGTTATGATGACAATAAATACCTTCGTTGATAATTTTGAGTTTTATATTCAACATTAATTAAAATATACAGATTAAGAAAGAAAAAAAAAATCAATTTTTTTATATGCATACAAAATAAGTCAATGAAATATGCATTTTTTTTTTTAACTAAAATTGACAAAATATACATTTTAAGTTTTCAATTTTTCAACTCTTTATTGTAGTATAGTCCAGATTTCTAGCTTGGTCTGCTATAAATTGATATCATACAGAACAAATATGTATCCCTACAACTTCTGAGCCCTATTTATGAACAACTTATATTTTAAATGTATTACGTTGGAATAATTTATTTAAATTTTAATGGAATGTCTAATAAACATTTTTCCAGAAATGCCTTTTTCTCTCACAAGATTTCTATTTACTTATCTGTTTAACCATTGATTAAATTACAGTAAAAACTATTCTGTTTATTTTCTGTACATAATATAAGAGACGAATGTTAAAAATTTTATGGCTTTTTTATTCAGATTTAAGTACTCAAATTCATTTAATTTTGATCCTTGGTATAAATAAACGATTTTAGTTCAAAAATATAATAAAAATGTAATCAATTAAAAAAACTGCTCGTAGTATGACATAAGCGACAAAAGTCAAAAGTGATAATTAAAAAAAAAAAAAAGGAAAAAATGTATTTTCTGAAATCAAATTTAGAAAGTGAGTACTCAGTAAAAATATACTTAATGAAATAATTGTGTGCTATATATATATTAAGTTCATTTTTTAATATAACTTTACTTGTTGGTTTATTTATTATTTTTACTTTTTGTTTTTTTGTTTTTTTATATTTCACATAGGGCATGATGTAGCGTAGTATTTGGCCCAATTTACTTAATGGTGTTGTAGTTAAGCACCTTCTATCGTTACTAGCTTTTGGACGAGTAACTAATTATTCTTAGTGCCAAAGTTCTGTACCAAATATGAGAAGAAGTGTACCAAAAACCTCCCTTATCGTATATCTTTTTTTTAAAATATATATGCAATCTATACTGATTATTATAATATGTTTATCTAAAGATAGATAGAATACATGGTTTACATCAATAAGAAGTAACCCACTATTGGTTTTTTGCTTTATGGGCGAATGAAGAAAAAAAATGGGAGGAGAAATTAAAGAGTAGAGGAAAAAATAATAAGAGAAAAAAATTGAGTGAGTTAATGCAGAAGATCTCTTGAAACACCTTCTTTTCAGTTGATGGTGAGAATTATCTTTTATCAGGAACTGTTAAGGTATTTAAGTTACTGATTAGAAGGTTATTATGATTTACCAGATGTGATGAGAGTTATTTGTAAAACATTATAAACACTTTTTTGATTTTTATGATATATAAATCATACAGAATGTTTGATTTGCAACGTGAAACGGAGCATTAGTAAATTGGCGTAAAGTGATATTTTGGTAAGTTTGAATTTTGTTAAAATTCAATTTTTTTGCCATGCCCTATAGTGGAAGACCATAAATCCAAATTTATTTTAAAAATTACTTGTAAGCTAATATTTTGTTTTTTAAACTTGTAAATTTTTTTTTTTTGTTAACATAGTTTTGAATACACGAGAACAAGAGCTTAAAATTAATCTTTTGGATCTTATGTATCGATTTTAACTTTATCTTTTGTCTAGGGAAAGGTCTAAATATTTAATTGTATCGGATGAAAGTAAAGGTATGTTCTCCACTGAAACTAATGGGCAGAGTATATGCTTTAAAGTAAGGTGATATGAATTGATTTTGTGTGTTCAATTTAATTCTCCATTTGGTTTACTACGATGAAATACAATCTAGACGGATTCGCAAATTATCCGAAGCTATTAGTGGATTTTTATGGACTAATATTACAGCTTTGTCGCTTTGTCGTCATTATGGTCGTCAACAAGTGTGTTTTGCAAAACGAGTTACTATGTACCGTAAAAAAAATAAAAATAAACAAATATATCCCCCAACGAATGACTAAGTTGTTAAAGCTTATTAATTAATAATAATAAAATATTTATATACGTATATATATATATGATTTCCTTGCATTTTTGTCACTGTAACTTACAAATACCTATATATATATATATTAATATCAAAATTATTTGGTTTCTTATAAAATTCTTCTCTTTTGTGTTTGTTTGTTTTTTTTTTTTTTTTATGTCATAAATATTACATAGGTATACTTGTATTTATTTCATACGCAAGCATCATGCTATTTTTTATTTTATGTTATGTGTTTTTATTTTTCTATACATTTTCAATATTTTATATAGTGCGTTAGTGAGTACTACTACCTAGTGTAGGAAATGTTTATACACAATTCACACTTCCTAGTCCTCAGAATAAGTGACAGTTGGATGTCTAGGTATAATAGGTATATATTCAATCATGGGTGTTCCATTTAGAGCGAAAACAAACATGACTATTGTTATTTATTATTTATTTTTTAAGAATCGATAAATTTGCTCGAGCACATTATAGCTAATCGTCCGATTAATGAATACTTAAAATATTATAGTAAAATAAAATTAGTTAATATTTTATCTGTTCATAAACATCTACATTATTTTTCCTTTTATTATTATTTTAATATTATATTATGATAGCTTTCAGATAAATTTGGAATATAATTTTGAACTATACATATCACAGAAATATGTTATCTTTCATTTTTTTTTTACATAAATTGGTGTATATTTTCTAGTTTTTCCAATGTTATATCTAAATATGTTATAAATAAACAAATGGCATGTAATTAGAATGTTTATTCTATTGTTCAGCTAATTTAATTTATTATTAAAAAGTATTTATACATATAGTAATGACTAATGACGATAAAAAAGAACTTTTTTGTGTATAACAAGAATTATGTATAAATTATTGTAATTTGAAATGTGTTTGCAAGATTAGAATAGTAAAAATACGTCAAGATAATATTGTTTAGTCTAAAAAGATATATTTATTCTAATTTAATCAATTTTCATTATAATTCATAGTTTTGTTGTTGTTTTTAAGCTTAGAATAATATTGGTCACATGCAAATACATTAAGCATAATAAAATTGTATATTATTTGATTTTCTGTACGTTAGATATACTTATGTATATTTTTTTATTATGAGGTTCAAATAATTTATTATTAGTTTCGTCTATGAGTAAGTTTCATAAAAAGTTCAAACAAGTCAATTCATTTTTTTTTTTTTTTTTTAATACAAAATATATTTTAAACGTATTTTTGCACATAAATATTTTTATAATTTTTAATACTTTTGAGATACAAAAATGCATACTATGTTTCTTTTTCATGGTTAACAACATCTAATTTTCTGCCTTTAATGGTTATAATATATTAAACATTTATTATACAAAATATATGTGATAACTATTGTTAAACTATGTACGTCACTAAGTTTGTTTTTAAGTGAGGTACAGTGTTGAATGCAGCTGAATGAACAATTTATAATGGCGTAATTAATTGAAGTGTCTAATAAAACCACGTATTGTATTTTACAGTTGATTCTATCCTGACCTGATATTTACTTAGAGTCAAGTTTCAGAAAATCCAAGCAGTTTACCTATTTAAATCAAAATAAGTATTTTTCTTAATTTTTACAAATTATTATAGTTTTTATACGGGAATTCTATTCATTTATAAACGAAATCAAAACTTAAAAAAAATCATATATTTTCGCTTCTATGTCCTAATGAACACTCAATATAAAAATTAATTTCTTTTGGTATTAGATTTATATATAAAACAAGAACATTTTTTTGCGATAAGAATGTTACAAAATTTGCATTTACCGTTTTTGTATGGATAGAAAAGTTTTATGAATGATACTATTAAAAGGTAATTTTTTTAATGTTTATGGTAGTATGGCGAAAATAAAACCTACATATTAGTAACTATGAAAAAAAAAAAAACAATTCATACATCACAGCCAGCACGGAATTCTTATCTCAATGTTGCTAGGTCGGGCCTGTTTTGAATGGATTTATTTGATATATATATATACGAGTAGTGTGTATAATAGTACTAATAAACTAGGTAATATTTGTTACAAAGATTATCGAAAATATACAAGAGATAAACACTATACTCGGATACTGTAAACCTGTGCAGATGTTATATTATTACTTGC